GTTTCCCCTGGACACGTGGGGGGTGATGAAAACTGTATTCTTATATGATCATTGTAACGAACAAAAATGCTATTGGAGTGGTGGCCACATGAAAATAGTACCTTTGCAATTCTGACAGCGTATACGCTATTTATTTACAAGTTTATCGATAAACAAATTCTAACCCAAATGTGTTTGCGCCCAGTTCGATATTGCTTATGAAGGTGTGCGCAGTTTATGCGATATGGGTGTAATAAAAACAAAAAAAGAAAAGGAACTCAGTCCAGAACAAATTATGAACAACATATCAGAATTGAAATCAAATCTTTCAATCTCTCCTTCATTACTTCATAAAGAATTATATAAAAACCTAAAGAAAGTGTCTTACCATGATCTAATATGGAAGGATTATCTTGCTAACAAAATAATTAGCGATGATTCTAAAGTCGTAAAAAATTTAACTGATAATTATGATACATTTATGGTGAGTATTATGTTAAATTTTGGTCAGTTTTTTATAGAAATGTTAACCCAAACTGGTATTCTTAGGAACCTAAGCATCAAATGCTCCCTCCCACATTGCCTTTTATTCAAGGAATATGTGATAGATTTGTGTCGAGGTTTACTGAACCTCAGGAATATTATCCGGCAATATTAATGCATGATAAGACTTGGAAAGAATCAGATGATATTCTTTCAGGAATTGCAGAAGAAGTTCTTAAAGTCTTGTAAGTAATCAAAAGAGATTAATTTTTTTCAAAATATTTTTTAATGATTTGTTTTTTAGAGATGAATCTTGGAAGAATCTGGCTTTTTCTTCCGAACTTTGGTCATCACAAAATGAAGGGACATATGTAACGCATGTAATAGCGCCTTCAATTCGAGCTGTATTAAAAAATCTTCCCTTCGAAAAAACTTCATATATTAGTATGGCGGAGAAGCAGAGTGTTGCTAGTGCGGAAAGAAAGGGAAAAGGCCATTTGGGGAAAAAACCAGATATGATGTTTATTTTAAACTAAGAAGAGGTTTCATATGAACTCGTATATGCTGAATTCTCACGTTTAGTATGTGCCAAGCAAAAGAAAGAAAAGGATGATATCAAACTCTGGCGAGAAACCAATGATGGAATGGATTGGGTTCGCAATAAATGTAAACCGGCCAAAGGTAAGTTTGGAATTATTAGAATTTAGGTGGCCGGTAATGTTTTGAAACTTAACGTGCTCGTAGAGATAAAGCAGATGTGAATAGATATTATCATTTAAAATCAGTGGAAAT